GGAATGTGGTCCGACATCACGTGCCACTACCCCACCCAACTGTTAAGGACTCTTTTTATGGATGCTTTTTCCAATTTTCACACTTTGCCAAAACCCTATCCGTCGCAACGCACCCTCATGCCAGCCTACTAGTCCCTAGACCTTAGGGCTCTATGACAAACAATGATTTGGACATGATTTTTCACTCCAAATAAATATAAATGCCAAAAAAATTTTGATTTCTAGTTCCAAATAAATTTTCTTCACTCTAAATATAAATGCCAAAAATTTTGATTTCTAATTAGTAGATCGGAAATATAAATGCCAAAAATTTTGATTTCTAATTAGTAAAGATCGTGGGGTTTTTACTCTGGATTTAAGGTCCATAGGGAGCCCTTCCTGTCACCAATTGGCTGGATAGGGTTTCTCTGTGAATTCCTCTTAGATTGCTCTGTTGGACCGGTTTCTCGATGCTTCCTGCGTCATTGAGTGTAAGTGTGTGTGTGTGTGGGTTTCTACCTGAAGGAAGAAAAAAAAATTAGTAGATCTGAAAGCCGAAGAACGGGTATTAAAAGTTAATGAGCAAGTGCCTAAGAGAACAAAATTGATACCCCTCAATTCTAAATTGCTTATGTGGGGGGCACTGAGTGGTTTTCGGACGAATTTGACATTATAGTAAAATTCATTTCTCTTCCAAAAAAAAAAAATGATGGTCACTTCTTCTACCTCACAAGATAATATACTAATACTTTTTTGTATTCTTTAATTTGATAAACAAACACAAAAGAATAATATACTAATACTTTTTTGTATTCTTTAATTTGATAAACAAACACAAAAGAAACTTGTAAAATCATAATGGCTTTGGATCCTCATTTCACTTTTGTTCGTAATTATGCTCTGTGTTATATCATGTATTTAGATGATATGCGTCTTCTAATTATATGTGTATTAAATGTTAACGCATTGTGAAGCATACTTCTACCAAAAAGAAATAGAGAAAATTGAGCACCCTTAATAGGTGGTCTAAAAGAAAAAAAAAATGTATAATATCACATCTGTAACAAAATATTCATAGCCACCCTGTTTGGAAAGTAATTTTTTTTCAAAATTTTTTTAACATTTTTCATGAACATAGTTTTCAATTACCCTTTACATTAAATACATAAAATCATTACAGTATATTTTTCTATATAAACTCTAAAAGATAGCAATCCAAGTGACGAACAGACAAAAAAAAGTTATAAAAACTCTAAGACTTGATCATTTCTATCAAGTTTTCATATTCTCTAATAATTAGATGAAAATAAGTTTAAATTACATTATGTTATATATTCCATGAATATTGAAGGGAAAGCAATTCTATTTTTTGGGATTAAAACTATTAGTTATTTTTACTTAGATTTCATTGTGCTTGAAAAAAGAACCTTTGGAGTAAAATTTTTAAAAATAAAAAATATAAGAGCATGTAGAATTAATGTATGAGAAATTATTAAGCTAAAAACCAGTTTAATAAATCATGAAAATAATTGTTGAATTAATGAGAGAGAGAGAGAGGGAGAGAAGAATGTGAGCAAGTGAGTAGGAAAAAACTTTAATTGGAGGGAGAAGAAGAGGAGTAATTAGTGTTTAGTGGATCTAAAAAAAATTAAGAAAAATATGTGAAGTTGACCGATTGAGGGTAATCTTGACATATGAGGAAAATTTGCTTTGGTAGAAACATTATTGCTCTCAAAATATCGCTAGCCTAAAACAATTTTAGGTGAGAATATCTAAATAGGTCATAGTGGAGGGGACTATGCAGAAACCTGCACATATGGTAGTTAAATTAGTTAATTTTAACAGATAATTTAGTACGATTGTAGTGTGGTCCTGCAATAATTCATCGCCAATGCTTATTTTTACCAAGTGCCATGCTTCAATTTGGTATTTGCTTGTAGCTATTGTTATTAGTGGAAATTACACCCAAACTTTGTTTAAACTTAAAGAAAAATGAATGAGAACAAAAAATCATATATAGTTATTGAAATGTACAAACTCGAGGGACATCAACATAATTAGCGGCCTTATTTGGATTGCTATTTTTTTCCTAAAAAGTTTTAACTTTTTTCGTGAACATATTTTTCAATCATTTTTTATCTCAAAATAACATAACGTGACACGTGTAAATTAAATTTCTCTGCTATTAACATAGACCGCAATTTGTTTTCCAACCCTAATTAATCTGTGTGTTCTTATGCGAACTAGCTCAAAGGCTTTGGTGACATGATTTTTTTTCCCTTTCCCATAATTAAAATAATTCTAGAATTGAAATTGTTAGCACGTGGACGTTTTCCTTGAATCACGTGATTGATTTAAGGACACAAGTAAACAAAATTCTGATTAAATGAGAAGCAGTGTGATGAAAGCTTTGTCTCCACTGTGAGAATTCATTAGTCAGACAATCTGAAATATGTAGTGCCTGATCAGAAAACAACAATATAAAATCATCTACCACAAGTACTATAATAGCAATTTTGTACTATAATAGCAACCTGAAATATGTAGTGCATTATCAGCAATTTTGTTTTCTTAATTTGCTAGAGCAATTTTGAATATGCATACCATAGATTATAATAGCTTGATGGAAACTCGAATTTTGCAACTATTAAGCAATTTTGTAAACTCAATATATATTGTTTAGTGTAAAGTCTAAATTATATTAGGAAGCCTTAAATGGATAGATTTTTATCAAGTGTTTCCAGCTGGACAAGTTTTTAATGTTCATAATACCACTTTTTTTTGCATAAATTAAAATTACAAATACTTATTTCATGAAAGTTTTAAGCTAAACCACTTAGTTTTGTTGATAACACCTCCTCCTGAATTTTGAAAAGTTGGCTTTAACGCTACGATTCAGATCTTATTTTCACAACAATTTTTTGTATAAAACATCAAATTTGCCCTTCTCAAGTCCTAATTAGAGGTGTCAATCACAATCTAATTTATTGACCTGCCCAAACCCGTCCACTAATAAGTGGACTTGTGTGGGTAATAAATTTTGAATGAACCTAAATGAGTACCTAATTAAATTCATTTGGTTGGTGTATAATGGGTTGGCTTGAATTACCTATTTATACTTATTTAAAAATAATTATATATTTAAATTCAATTTTTACGGTATGTAATGAACTTTGAATGGGTCTAAATGGGTATCCAATTAAACCCATTTAGTTGATGAGTGGTGGGTTGACTCGACTCACTCATTTATGTCTATTTAAAAATAATTATACCAATCTAATAACAATAAAATGTCATTAATTATTTCTTATAACAACAACATGCAAAAAAAATAAAAAATTAAAAAAAATTAAGTGAGTCATAAATGGATAATTAGGGTATACACATATCCATTTATTAAATGAGTATAAATAAATAACTTATTTTGACTCATTTATTAAATGGATACGAAGAATTAACTCAATTACTCAATAATGATGTACCCAAACTAGCTTATCCAAATCATCCATTTTGACACATCTAGTCCTAATGTATTTTATGCTAGAAAGCAATGATTTTGTTATTTTAACAAAAATTGCTATGAAGATAAAAATTGGGATGTGGCATTATTGTTTGCCATTTTGAAATTCCAGAAAATTGTTGGACAAATGAGAAAATATCTCGAAAATGTTACCAATTTTATAAAAGGAGGACAAGAATCTATATATATATATATAATTTTAATTCATCTGAAGATTTTGTCCGTTGACAATTAAATTGTCGTACGGGCGACCAGAGTACAGACGGCCGTATGACTTAACCTCCTCTGCTAACCTGCGCCATATGTCATGTTGTTGACCACAAATGAATGTGTTCAAGGGGTGCAAATGAATTAGCAAAAAAATAGAAATGGTGGTAGATATTTTAGTTTCTCTTGAAATTGTGTGTCATAGAGATCCAAGGCTGGGCCAACCTAGATTTAACTTTCCCGTGAGCTTTCATTTCAAGAAAGTCCAATTATGCGTGCTAAAAAGAGAAAGAAAAGGTGAAGCACAGGCCAAGAAGTTTTGATATTGGAAAAGTGGATGGAAAAAGAAGGAATTTTTATGCTTATAGGGTCACGAAATTTGTTTATATCTAGCAATTTTAACGCCCGATTAAAGAAGAAAAATTTTATGTATCGTAAAAAAATATACTATAGTAATTTGATATACATAAAGTAAAAAATAATTAAAAAATGTGTTCACGAAAAACGTAAAAATTTTATGAAAAAAAAAATGCCTTTCAAAACAATGCTGTGCTTTTTACACAAAAATACAAGTATTTTCTCATCAAATTTACAAGACCTGGCCTATTCAAGTATGCGTTGATCGATGAAGCTAAATTATACATCTGCAATACAACTTAAAGTAAATGGCGAGCACATAGTCACCAAACTATTTAAAATAGCAGTCTTGTTACTGAACTTTTTCTTCAAACGGACCTTTTGAGTCATTCCCAGCCAATCAACATTTTAGAATGTTTTTGTCCTTAAAAACCTATAATAGCAGATCAAATCAAATGTGCTTTTTTTCCCGTTAGTTTGCCAGCTAAATTGGACGGTATGATCCAAAATGTTCATTTTAAGAAGTCGAGTGGCCTTTTTAGTTAAAAAAAATAAGTTCAATGACCAAATTGTACCATTTTAAATAGTTTACGGACAATTTTTACCGTTTACTCTGCAGCTTAGATTTTTATCGAGACCGGTATAGGAACCTGCTCAAAACATAGAGATTTGCGGGGTCGAGTCAAGATTGAGTGTTCAGAGTTCAAATTGCATTGCATCTCTCCTATTTTTTGGGAAGATAATGTCCACACACCATTAATTGCTGCAGCTTGACCATTTATGATTTTTTCTTCTTTCCCAAAAGAAACTCGTACAATTCTTCCTTGTCCGGCATCTTTAATTAGTTATAGACAGACCAGAGAAAGGCATGCATGCCTCAGGCTAAGCTAGGCAAAACGATAGTGGATGGATAAATGTCCCACAATGTTAGATGTACACGTTACAGAAAATCATATGCCAAGGCAATTTCCATTACAGCAAGTACTACAAACAAAACTGGCAATGGTCAACAGCTTATTTTCCGAATACAGGCTCTTGACCATCACCTGTGGTTAGCAATGGAATCGCCAGATTCAGTCAATTCCAATCCACCAAAGCACTGGGAGTTAAATGAAAAGATAAAAAGATTCAAACTACTACAACTCATACAAATATAAATGACACAAATCTAGTAGTGCTTGGTACTACAATAGCTGATACAATAATGCTGCTGCTGCTGCTACTCAAGTAAATTATTTTGAGAAATCATTTTCAAGACAGTGGAGACCTATGAGGAGCACCCTTTCTCCTGTTACTCAAGGAGAGCTCAATGCCAGGGAGAAATCCACTGCCCTTTTTCTTCTTTTTCACCACTTCTGGTTCCATTGAAATCCCTGAATTGTCCATGGATGATGTATAAGGGCATGTTGAGCCTCTATATACTAAAGGGTCCTCCAACTCCCAGATGGAGTTTGGGGTAATTTGACCATCATCATCAAGAAGTTCAGGGCCATCCACGTGTAATCTCTCAAACTGAGACACAGCAAAATCAGACTCCTCAGACCTATATAGGATACTTGACAAATCCTCCCCATGATATACCATGTAATCAACCTGCAGCAAGTTAGTAGTTTTTTAACCCTCAGTTCTTCTATCAATAAAAATGGATGATGGTGGTGGCCTGGTTTGTGCTACAACTATTCTACACCAGGAGACAGAGGATTATAATTCAGGAAAAGAGAGAGAGAGAGAATTATGATTCAGGAAAAAGGAACAAGATCAGAGGTAAAAATCAATGCTTGATTTATTTAAATTGTGTACATAAATATATATAAATATTAAAAGTACACAATTAGGCCATGCCCAGCTGCAATTTTCAAAGTCCAAAAAGAATACTACCATGCAACCTGACAAAAAACAGAAATTGCCAGTTGTCTTGTGTTGTGTGTGGCCTTTCTGTGTGTCACAGGAGCGTGTGTGTGTGTGTTTTATTGTGTGTGTAAGTGAGTAAGAAAATACTAGTAGCTCTCTTATATACAAGATAATAACAAGGGATGAAATCGAAGGTGGACCTTGCATGAAAGAGAACAGAAGTTAAATGGCTCCTGAAGAATTCTGTCACAGGTGAAACAAGCATTGCCAGAAGTCTTGCCAGACTTAGATTGTGCTGCTCTCTTATTCAAGAATATAACTTTGGCACTGTTTATAGTGTATGGCTGCCACAGAAACAAATAACATTACATTACATTATTATTAGCTGCTCTCTTAACATTTCTGCAACCATCTTTAATCAATGCTATAATTTGCCACAACCATCTTTAAGATTCAGCTAGCTCTCTCAGGTTCAGTTCTTTCTTGTTGCTTTTATTGAGCAGTAAATACACAATATGGTTCACCAATAAATAAGGACAATGCTAAGAACCCTTTATTTACCTGGATGAAAGAACAGTGTATGAACTTCTCGAGGTCGTCCAATCTAACAACATTTTGGTAGACATATCGTCTCACCTGCCACGTGAGGTAATGAGTACTCCCATTTGTCCTGTTTTTATCGTTTTCTACCAAGCAACCAATTCAATCTCCAAAATGTCTTTTACAAAAAAGTAAGACCATATATGAAATTTCACCTAAAAAACCTCACCTCTCTACACAATTCAAAGACAAAGATCTTATAGTAAGTTTTACTAGTTTAAACTTTGTTTAATTGGGTAAATTATAGTAAGTTTTGAAGGTGACACGTGAAAATTATGGCACTTGAAAATTCATGAGGTGACTAGTGAAGAGGCAACAACCTAACCAAGAAAACAAAAAGAGAAGAATGGTAGTAACAGTAGGAAGCTAACCAAAAACAAAAGAAAGAATAGTGAGGCGACCAACTTTCCATCCAAGAAGAATTAATATAGTAGTAGGATTTAATGAACCCGATATTTGAGAGAACCGTGGAAAGGGTACTTGATAAAAGAAGACAAAATAGACTAACATTGATTATTGGCGATTGGGTCAAACTGTCCTTGAAAGCAACAGCTAAGGAACCTTTGCAGGGAAAATTGATGAAAAAAGGATATCTTCTAAAAAAGGGCAACAAACCACATCAGAAGATTCAAAGTATGAGTTTAAACACTCACTCTTTTAGAAAATGTTAGCTATTCAAACTTGTACTATCCAGCTGAAACATGTTCTATCCATTAAAAGCCTTCATCTGAGTTTGCTGGTAAAATTTTGGCTGAAGCCGAAGAAATTGCCTGAATTTTTATCAAGAACTCATCAGCTGAATTTTATGCAAAAGTTGCACTCTCCAGCAGATTTTCATCTGGCTTAAGAATCTAGCTAGTAGAGAAAACAATTTTTTGGAAGCTAGAAATTTCAAGAAATACTAAAATCCAAGACCCCCACAGACAATCATGAGGGAAAATTGAATTGCCACAGGGCAGAATCCCAACCCTGTAAGGCAGAAAAGAAGAAGAAAAAAGGAAGGCTTGCTACGAACTTTGGAAATTCTCAAAGATTTTGAAGAATTTGAACGTAATTCAGAGAACCCATCTCAAAACCTCGAAGGTATAGGGAACTAGCTCTACAAAAAAGGATTATTCGGGTTGGATTTCATATCCCTTAATACAGAACAACAGAGTAACAAGAAGTTGAGCTAAGCATGGAAGTTCAGAGAAGAAAAACCTTGGAATTAAACCATTTCTTCTTTCAAGAAAGAACTCAAAGAAGAATCAAAACAGTCCCAGGAATTTTCCAGAGTGCAGAAAACAATGACATGGAAAATTAGCTACCTCAGAAAGACATTTGTTTGGTTGAGTTCTAAGCTTGAACGCATTCATTAAGCAACAAAATTTGCCTAAATTGACCAAAACCAAAACTTTTACATATACACTGATGAGATGATAGGCCTCAACACACACACACACAGAAAAAAAGATTTTCAAAGAGTGATTAATTCATTAATTATAATTACCTGAAGGAAGTGATGAGAATGATGAGAAGGAAGACAGTGAGCGCAAAAGCTTTGACAACAATCTAAGCAGAAGATGTTCTTCTCATTCTTCCTTCGATTCTCGTGGACCCCACAAGCAGCAAAGAATGTCTCAGCCATGAGCCCTTCTAGCCATGCAGGTTTCATCACCACCTCCCCACCATCACTGCTCCTACTACTATATCCTCCTCCTCCCATCATCCCAATTTCCCCAACAACCGGACCGAACCAAAAACAAAAAAAAAAAAAAATTTTTCCTGCTAATTTTCCTTCAGATTCTCAGTAAACAAAATCTTTTCATACAAATCTTCTTCTAGTCTAGTAGTGTAATAGTTGTTGCCACTATGTTATATGGGGAAAAGGGCTCCTCCTAGCTATGTGGTTGTAGCAGTACTAGTAGGCAGCTTACAAGTGTTACAACCCTATGGCACAAATGGCTGGACTCGAGTCCTCCGGTATATATAGTGAGAAGGAAAAAGAAAAAAAAATTATAGTATAGTACAATAAAAAAAATTATCAAAAAAAAAAAAAAGAAAACAACAAATGGAGGAAAGAGAGAGAATGTGTAAGGACAAAGGGAAGGACAGGACGATTGGGTGTGGTGAGGGGCGAGTAATGGAGTGGAGTGGCGACGTTGGGGGTGATGTTGGGCGGGAATACAGCCCACCTATTCCCACACAATATTGTGTGTATTTCTGTACGTATTCTCTGCAATTTCACCACCTCATTCTTGCTGTTTGTTACTATGGGCACCTCACAAGCTTCTTTTTTTTTTGGCTTTAATAATTTTGTTGGAGCACTACAATTTTTTTCTGACTAATTTAACCTTGTAACAATACATTGGAATTTGTTGGATTATGTTGATCGAAGATTATTTGGGATAACTTTTTTTGAAAAAAAAAATATTGCAAGATTTTTTTTATGTGATGCATGTAAAATAAAATATAATTATAAAATGTGTTTATGCTGCAAACAAATAAATTTGTGTAAATAATTTGCTATCCAAACACACTAATGTTTTTGTGTAATGTGTGATTCTTGAACATTTTTTTTTAATTGGAATGATAGTGGTTATGATAACATTAATAGTTCAAATTGTACATTAGAGAAATCTTTGTGATTTATGATTAGGCTAGACAAAATTTTTAATTTTTTTTTTTGGATGCATGTTTACATGTGATTTTACTACTGTAATGGCATACTTCACTTTTTGTTAGTGACAATCAAGTTTATCTTCAATTTGTACAAATGGACAATACTAATATTTCTATTATATATCTCTAAAACATTTTGAAGTCATATATAGGATCGTGAGCCCATTGAACCAATTTTTATGAACTCCTTACTCGATCTGCAAATAGTTTATTGAAGAAATCACAATTACCTACCTAGTGATGAGTGGGATGATTTGAACTATTCCTTTGGTCTCTTGCAATAATTATTCTTCTTTTTCAGTCTTGATTTTAATTTTAGAAGTTAACTTTGTCCACTTGCAAAGATTTAAAGCACAAAAGTAGATTGTCATTAAGAAGAAATGGAAATCACATTATTTTTTTTGCCTATTTACAAATGAAAATGGTATAATACATGGTGGATTCATGGTGAATGGTTATTAAAACCATTTGTTTCGGTGGTATTATTTAGATGACAGATGCTACATTTTTGCAACAATGTTTTTTTTTTCTTTCTATTATGGATATTTAAATCATATTCTTAAAGATAATTCAGTACATTCTGATTTAATATAAAGATTAATTCTATATATATACTGACAGTGTATACATTAGCATTCTAATTAAATGCATACCATTTGATTCTAAATTCTAAATTTGAACTCATGCATATGAGTAACGAGAAATAGTTTGGATAAAAGGACACTCTAATTAATACATGAATTAATGTTATATACATTGACAGTGTGTTATATAATGTACATGCTATCACCATTATATACTTAACAATAAATTTAAATTTTAAATTATAATTAAAATTTTATATAATTATCAAGCATTTAATTATGATAATATTAATTCTTAATAGTACTTCTTATCATTTATATTACTATCAGTTTTGGATTAGCAACACGAATGCACTCTTTTGTCTCAACATAGGCTGGTCGGTCCGAGGGCAGATGCTGATTCCGAATACGCTTAATAGTAACATCACATGCACGACTTTTAGCCGTATACGCAATTGCAATATCTACTCACTAAAAGCACATTAATTCTCATACACAAGAAAAAGAGAAATGGTTAACCTTTTGTGCCTTTTTAAAAAGGTTCCAAAAACAAAAAGTGCTTGACATTAGTAATTTCCAATGAATGAAGGCAGGAATTAATGTTACCAGTTGTCCATCTTTTCCGTTCTAGGGATTTACAACTTCAAGTTACTCAAAAGTGAAAAAATCAACTCGTTTACCTTCCTCTTTACATGTGTTTGCCAAATGATAATGATGCAGCCATGCTTTATTAACTTATAAAAGTCCTAATGTAGTATTGAATTCAGCATTGGTAAAAGTCAATCTACATTGTCATATACTCCCTCCTTTTTTTTATAACTGACGTTTAAGAAATTTGCTCAAATATACTTTTATCTGTCGTTTTATAATTTCCATACAGTATTAATTATTTTTTCACAATTTTACCCTTTTATCTCTCTTTTCCAATACAGGGTTCTTAATTACTACTCTTAGTAATTATTGCTTCTCTCTTTGTAACAATCCTAGTAATTATCTGCCCCTCATTGGACAATTAATGAGGGTACAAAAGGAAAAAGTGTACAGATTTAAGCAATGAAAAATTTTTCTTAATTGGTGTGCAAAACTTTAAACGTCAGTTATAAAAAAAGGGAGGGAGTAAATAAATTACTCCCACTATCTCATTTTGATAGTACTAGTTTTTCTTTCACACAATTTAAGAAAAAGTAGTTAATTTTGTTGAAAAAATAGATTTAGGTTGCTATTTTTCTAAAATACCCTTACATTAAATAGAGTACAACTTTATATTAATTATTCATGAAAACTTAAATTGATGGTTTATGAGAACTTGAATTGATGGTCAAGAAAGAATCAATCCTCATTTTACATTATTTCACATTAAATCTAAATATATTATATGGGGTAGGTTAACAATCTATATTAAATAAGGTAATTTATACTAATAACAATCTACATTGAATAAGGATATTTTAGAGAAATTAAAAGATAACTACATTCTTTAATTAAAAAGTGGACTATAATTTGGAATAAATGAAAAAGGAAAATAGGACTATTAAAATGGGACGAAGGAAGTAAATTTTTGGACGAAGGAAGTACAACTTAGGGAATGTAAATTTTTGGTCTCAAACACTTATTATTCTACTCTTATTGGCTTTTGATAGAGTTGAATTTAAATATTTGGACACTTGAGAATTTACCGACTTGTAGTACTTAACATTGAAAGGAGCATCATAATGCATTTTTATTTTGAAAATCATAATATTCTTTATCATTTAAAGGTTCAAGTTCTTCAAAATTTAGCTTTTTTATTTGTACAAGTATTGCACCAAATGAATTTTTTTTTTTGGAAGGCACAACCTTTTATAATATTTTGTGTGGACAAGAGGACAAACACGGTGTGCTTCGTGAACTTTTAAAATTCACTTCTTCGCTCTTATACACTTTTTCTTTTGACACGATAATTCTCATTCTAGTTCTATTCCTACTCTACATCAAAGGAATGAATGGACCCGAATCGCTAGTAAAATTGCCAGAAAAAGCCTAAATGAGAATGTAAGATTGAAGATCAATAATTCACATCCAATGAAGGACTTAAATCCCTTTTTGGTGATCGACTCAGTCTGACTGAGTTGGTTCTCTACACTTTTATACTGATTCAACAAATATTTTTTCCTTAATTTTGTGTTATATGCTCTGACCTATTGGTGTCACACAAACATTGGGCCCTTCCTCGATGAGGAAGCTAATATGATGACAAAATTGTCCTTTTGCTCAATTTAATCAATATGTTTGATTAAAGTTTGGAGCTCATTGAACAGCTCACATAAGCTGAGTATTTAAGTATTGAAGGACTCGAAACACAAAATCATGTCTTCTTGTCCTCTAATTTTGGGACCTGTGTCCTATATAACAAAATCAGACATACAGCATTATTTATGCTGTGTTTATGGTTAACAATGAGAACTGTTTACTTTGGTAATGATGTTAATTTTTAACCTGCAAAACTAGAGAACGTGCAACAAAAATGCACCATAAATTTTTAAAGGAATAATGGAGATGAAAGGACGAGACCGGTGACGTGGGGATCGCATGTTGTCGGATGAATTGGAGCTATAAAGATTCTTAGATTAAAAAAAAAAATTTTTTTTTTTGATAGGGTAAAACAAGTAAGAAGATAATGGGATTGGCTCAAAGGATAAGCCTCGTTCACTTGAAAAGAACTTGTTTGAATTGCAAGTTTTTATAGAAAATTATACTGTGGCGAGATAATATATGTGAGATAAAAAAATGATTGAAAAATATATCGAGAGAATTCTTCTACGAAAATTTGTAATCCAAACAAGGCTGAATTTCAAGTAATTGTAATCAATTGCTTATCACTACTAGAAATCATTAAAAAACCGACTTGTCCTAGTTTTGGAATGGGATAATCTTTCCATCCTCGTAAAATTTTGTTTACCAAAAAAAAAAATAAAGAAAGAAATATGAAAAGTGAATAGGTAATGGCCATCAAACATTCTCAATAATAAAACAAAATCAACGTTTGTGAGCGTTTGATTATAGTTATTTTACTCAAAATATCTCAAAAACAATTAAATTTAAGTGAATCCAACATCTTGTGTAGATGGTAGAAACTCTCCCTCATGCATGACACTAGCCTAAGAGAACGCCCCCTCATTAATATGCATGCATGAGTGATTCGGCAGAGTGAGAAATGGCATGAATTTTTGTTCTTGTAAATATCATAAATGTTCTATATCATGTAGTATTAGAAATTTAGATGTAACCCATGATTTTTATCTTTGTTGTAAAATAGATTCATTAGTGCATATGCCAAGAATAAGTAAAGAAAAAGCTATCAGTATAATTTGGGTACAAAATTTATCTTGATGTCTACACAGAAATTAGTAAAATTAACAACTGGATCTTTCTTCTTTTTTTTTCAAAATTCTTCTAAATTACTTGTTGGAACAACTATAACATTTTGATGCTCTGAAGTCTTGAACCTCCTAAGTATGTCAGAATTCAGATGCTGCCATGTGTCTGCACTAGATTACAGACACTGCAGTATAACATATAGTATTTTGATGAAACAATTGTTTAATGTATTTACAAGAGAAATAATCTACAAAACCCAAAAAAAAAAAAAAAAATTCTGGATTAAGTATTGTACA